TAGTGGTAATTCATGTATTTTATTTTATGAGTTGTATTGATTTTCTTTTAGTGAATAAAGAAAATATTCAACAAAATTCCTTTTTATTCAAAACATTCCATACATAAAAAGCAAACCACAACCAAAGCATAAAAAATAAACAAACCACAACTAAAGCATAAAAAAAACAACAAAGCATAACTAAAAATACAACATAAACATAATACATTAAAAAAACATCTTCACTTCACTTCATTCACCTTCATTGCCTTTCACTGCCCACAAATGCTCCATCAAGTCAACTTGACGGTGTTCATGAATATACGACGATTGCATCTCCGTGTAGCACTCAATCATACAAGGCAAGAAACTACTATCTCTAACCAACAGATCACGCTGCACTGGTTCTCCATTTGGCCCCATGGGTTTTTCATAAATTCGTGTTAAGGTCGTATTCATGGTATCTGGTTCATACACTTCATCAGCATCGTAATCATACTCATCTTCCACAATCATGTTGTGGAGGATGATACAAGTCATCATTATACTCCTAAGCACCTCCTCGTCAAATAAACGCACCGCCCTCCTGATAATAGCCCACCGGGCTTGAAGGATACCAAAGCACCTCTCCACATCTTTTATGTACCCCTCTTGATAGGCAGCAAAAAAAATTTCCTTATGGGATCGGGGATGTGGAATTGATTTCACAAATGTTGTCCACCTCGGGTAGATATCATCAGCTAGATAATACCCGTTCTAGTAGACGGTATTATTGATTTGATACGTGATATTTGGGCCATCACCTCTCAGAACATCATTGAACACCAGGGATTGACTCAGGACGTTCAAATCGTTTTGAGAGCCGGCAACTCCAAAGAAGGGGTGCCAAACCCATGTATCAAAACCAGTAACGGCTTCGAGGATGATGCTTTTCTGCCCTTTCCGATTGCCATAATCCTCTTGCCAAGCAGTTAGACAATTTTTCCATTGTCAGTGCATGTAGTCAATGCTACCAATCATTCCAGGAAATCCACGAGACTCAGTTGTTTGTAGATAATACCCGTTCTAGGAAATCCACTGCATCACAAAATCGCACCAAGCTCTCCAAAATAGTGGACTTCCCCATCCGGGCAATCTCATCCACCTGATCAGCAGATGACCCACACGCCAACATTCGTATCACAGCTGTGAACTTTTGCTCGGGAAGAAGCCCCAAATTTCCAGCATAATTTTTATTTTGAACAAAGTATTCATCATAATTACAAATATCATGCATGACTTTATTGAACAAATGAGGTTGCATTTTATATCTCACTCGAAAATGAACATCAGAGTACAGAGAATGTGTGATAAAATAATCTTCCAGAAGATTCTTACCCCGAGAATGTCTATGTCTGTCCACATTCGGGGCACGGCCTTCTCGTGAACCACGGTGGCTCTGGTTTTCTTCCTCCAGCAAAGCAATGACCATGCCAAGTTGCTCATCTAGTTCTCTCTACGCCCTTTTGCTTGCAGCTCGTCGACGCATTCTTTCTCTCCCTTCTCACTCTTGCCTCTCCAAAACCTCTTGCATGTCTGCCATTGAAAATGGAGAATGAAATCTAAAATCTGAAAAATGGAAATGTAGAGAATATCTGGTGTGGGAGGTATGAGCTGAGCCTCTGGTTTTATAGAAAAATTTAGACAAATAGATATGACATGTGGCGCAATCTTATAAGGTGAAAATCTTATCTGAAATTTGAAATTC